CTCTCTCTCTCTCTCTCTCTCTCTCTCTCTCTCTCTCTCTCTCTCTCTCTCTCTCTCTCTCTCTCTCTCTCTCTCTCTCTCTCTCTCTCCTTCGTCGTTGTCTTCGATGCAGGTACGCGTCACCTCCTTCCACAGCGGAGCTATGGCAAACTTCTTCTTCACGGTGGCGCTCTTCAACTGTGGCGCCCTATGGCGCGCGTCTCTCTCCTGCTACAACGACGATGGCGCATGGGGTAGTGGGTACCAGCTCCGATACCAGTGCAATCAGACTCGCTTTCATTCACACTTCACATGCATGTAAACAGGTTGTGCAGCAACTGGCGACGAGCGCCAACTCAAAACTCAAAGATATGGTGATCAGAAACACAGTTCAGATACAATCTCACTTTAGATGGCTATGGCGCATCAGCGCCTATACAAACTTTGTTCGTCACTAACACAACACTGTTGTTCACACACCGGACCACCCTGGATACCCCACACACATCGCACTCTGTACGCTCACACACACCCGCACACATCTACAGCTATGGCGGCTATGGCCGTTGCTACCCTGTCGCTATGGCTATAAGCTTCTTCTCGCCCACTTCGTCCTCGGGCTCACTACAGACCACCTCGCACAAGTCACTATGGCAGCGCTTCCGCATGGCTTACCCAGGAATGAATGAATGGCTGGGCGCTGCCTCTTGATTTATACTTCTGTAACTCGCTGGTCTGCCCTTTTCCATCGGCCCATGGTGCACACAGTCCCTCATGGTATTTGCTGGACTGGACTGGGACTGACTGGACCGGTACTGCTGACTGCATGGGTTTGCACGGCAGACTCAGTGCAGTCGCACTGCCAACTTACTGAGGTTGGCTCTACCACTTGCCCACTTGCCTCTGCTTAAACGTGAGCCTACTTCGAAAGGCCACTTCCGGGACCTTCCGGAAGTCTGTAGACTTGGCCTTTCGGGTACTGTAGCAGCTACGACCTTGACCTCTCAGGACTGTAGCAGCTACGACCTTGACCTTTCAGGATCCCTACAGCTACGACCTCTACAGCACTGTGACTCCTACTCGACAAACCTACAGATCGAACCCCTACCACTACACAGACCTATGGCAGACAACAACAACTGTTTAGGCACAGGTCACGGGTTCAAACCATAGTTGCGGCGCACGTGTGCGGTGCGCTGTGGGCTGTGCGCAGGTTTAGCAGGGCCCGCACTGTGCGCTGTGCGCTGTGCGCGCGCTGCGTCTTGTGCGCCATTGCGCAGGAATTGAAAAAAAAAAATGCCAAACCCCCTCTTCCCCCGCCCCCAGCAGCCATACCGACATACCAACCTGCAACCAGACCCTTCCCGGCCCCCTGCAACCAGGGCCCCCCACTCACCCTGCACTACCCCTGCTTTTTTTCCCTTTCATTATAGTATCCCCCACTTTAGTCCTGACTCCTATGCCATCCCCTGAGAGTTACAGACAAATCAGAGGGGTGGGAGGGCTGTGAAGTTGCGAAGTTGCAAACACTCACCTGCAGTCGGAGTATGCACGTACCAGCGATGGCAGTCAGGGCATCCGTCCAACGACGCGGCAACATGGCATCAAAAGAACACATTCACAACAACAATGAATTCGCAGTGCAGCATCCACAACAAAGAATGACGAACAGAACAGAAAACCAGTCAATCAAATCCAATCTTTGTGGCAGCTCACGTAGATATTTGGCTATTATTCGTACATTCACCATTGCGAGAACAAAAATAAGCAAAATAACAGTTTGAAATTTGGAAGTTCAAAGCTTCATGTCAGAAATACGATCATTGTCAGAACTCTGCACTTGGAGCATCGGTTACCTAAACTGATGAAATCATAGATCGAACGGCTTCCCTCTACTCAGCCTCTACCTGATCTTCCTCCTCTTCTTCCCCTCCCTCACTTCCTTCTCCGTCTGTGCCTTCCATCCCACTGGTATGAGATGACGAGGAAGCCGATGAAGAACTTGAGTCCGTGGACGTGGACGAGCCTTCAGGCTCGTCCTCTTCCGGACTTTCTTCGGGGACATCCTCATCATCGTCGTCACTTACAACGACGGACTTCTTGGCCTTCCCTCCACGTGCGCTTGTTTTGGCAGCTTTCGCTGCCGCTTTGGCTTTGGCCGTTGAGGCTTTGTCAGCAGCAGCTTTTGCTTCAGTTGCTGCAGTGATAGCCTTCTCTTCAGCCTTCTTCGCCTTGCGTGCCGCCTGTTCTGCGTTAGTTGGACGACCGCTCTTCGGTCGTGGCTGTTCTTGTTGAACAGCCTTCCTCTGCCCACGCCGTGCGGGCGCATCATCATGCTTCACCGTCTGTTTGCCCTTATCTTTCCCTATCCTCTTTGTTGGCGCCTCGTCCCGCCCCTGCACCCAAGTGCCTGCCTGTCGCGCTTCCATTGCGAGAGCGTAACCCTCCTCTATGTACAACTCTCCAGGCACAGGCAGTTGGCAACCAAATCTCCTTCGCAACTCTTGCTCGCGGTGCTTCCCAGGCTTCGTGCACTCGTGCCAATCGCGTTGCCTTGTACCGACAAGTAGAGTCTCCTCCTCCTCGACCAGCTTGTCGTCAACTTCGTCATTCTGCATGAAAGTCCGCCGCATTGGGATCTCGTCTCCCTCATCATCGCATTCCACCTCCGCAACCTCCTCACGATCGACAACATCATGGACCCGATCCAACCAGTGCACATACCACTCCTCCATCTCCTTGTCCACCGGGACGTCGTCCGCCCATGGGATGTGGATATCATCCCCCTCGCCACGCTGATTCCTCCTCAGCAGCCGAACATTCCAACTGATGTACACCAGTTTCGCCATCCTCTCTAGCAACAACTTCGTCCGCCTCCGTCCATAGATAAGCTCATGCAAGCTCCAATTCCGCTCGCAGGCGGCAGAGGAGCTTGCCTGGCCAAGCAATCTGATTGCTTGTGGTGCGAGGAGGTCGTGCTTCGAGCCGAATGCCTCCCACCACAAAGCTGGCGGCTGGTCGCAGGCTTGTTCTCGAGCTTGCTCCGTCGAGAACCCTCCCAAAGCATTGACCCATTGATCAACCTGGGAGCTCACTTCCTGGCGCCGTTCCCGAGGCATCCAGGATTACAACCAAATGTTGAACCCGGCACGAACCTCCGGATTGCGCTGTGCGTTGTGCATCCGATGCTCAGGGTCCAAGAAGGCTGCAGCACAATGTAGCTCGCTTGTCAGAAATGCCCAGCGACCCATGAGGATGCGCTCCACCGCCTCGTGCTCGTCCACCGATAAGGATTCCAGGGCACACAAATTTTGCACAACCTGATCCATCTTGAAGTAAACCTTCGAGATGGTTGCTCCTTGCCCATCCACCAAACGGAGCAGCTCCACCACCGGCTGCATGACATCAAGCGCCTTCTGCAAATTCCCCCAGAAGTCGCCCTTGTCAAGGACGATTGCTGTTACATCGTGAATGCCACCAACTGGTCATTCCGCACCATCTTGTCCACCCAACCCTTGTCGCACACACAGCGGTCAAGAGCTTTCCGCAATTCCTTGAGCGACTGCAGCATCTCGAAGTTCGTTGCAAATCTGGTTGCCGCCGGACGCTTCAGCTTCGTCTTCGGGGAGTAATGGTGGAACAAAGCCCTTGCCTTGTCCACATTGGAGAAGAAACGTCCGACCTTGTTGCCAGCATTGGCCACCTACGCCATCCAAGGCATTTCCTTGTACATGTCCTCCAGCGCAAGGTCCAGCGCATGCGCCGTACAACCGACGCTGAAGATGGTCGGATAGGCGGACTCCACCATCTTCCCTGCCTTCATGCACACCCTTGCGTTGTCCATGACTACACCAACGACCGCATCCTCTCCAATTTCCTTGATGACGTCGTCCAGCACCCGAAAATAAGCTGCCGAATCCTTCTCCTTGCCCTCCATGCAGACTGACTTCCAGAATACTGTACCGACGGGCGAGGACACCATGGCATTCAAATGTGGTTTGTTGCGGCGGTCCGACCAGCCGTCCATCTGCAACATACACCTCGTCTTCTTCCACTTCACTATCATTGCACGGACCTCCGCCCCTACCCGCACATACTCTGCGTCCAAGCGCTTTGTCCTTTGCTCGTCCCTTCGGCAAGGCATCCATGTGGGATGGGCCGTCCTCACGGCCTGAAGGAACTCGAGGAAGAAGACGTCCTCCACCAAGCTGAACGGCTGGTTGGTGCATATTAAAAACCGGTCGAGGAATCGGCTTGTACGCTCATTCATCGTGACCACACTGTCGGCCCCCTCGATCACTGTCTGCCTCAGTGGCCTGCCCGAACTTGGCTTCGATCCAAGAGTGGTGCCCCCAGTGGACTGAGGTGTGGCCGTCTCGCCGGTAATGCT